AACTCGCACTTATATTCATACACAGTGCCACTCCCTTGCTTTAAGCTCATGAACTATTGTTTCATTTGACGAATGAATTGATCCCTAACATACTTGTTCTTGAACTCATCCAGAAAGAACGACCATGTCACCTGGTCCCTAGTAGCTCACATCAACACATTATTCCACCATATCTGAGCTTTCCCTCGTAACAACGAGACTACTCCATCTAACTTCTCTACTTCCAAACAGTGGATACCCTCCAACATGATCTTTATGTCATTAAGCCAAAGATCCGCAGCAACATGACCTCTTCAGCTCTGCCCTTGAACTCTTGTGCTCCTAACCCTTTCAACTTTTTCTATTCATCTTAGGAGTTGAGGGAACAGACAGTTGGAAAACGTCCAACGACTTGAAAAACACTCCTTGATCTTGTACATGCACCCCTTGAGACGTCAGTTCTTCACATTGCCTAACTAGGACAGGTGAATTACTACTTCCTTCATGAGCATCTCTCGTTTCACTTTAGGAGCCCTCAAAGTCTGACATCTATAAAATCCAATCACTATTCTATTAATAAGGACAATATACTAATTACCTTATCAGATCAGAGATTTTAAATTTTCAGTTGGAATGTGCACTTTTTAAACCAAAAACTACTTCATTTCGAACGTAAAAATCAATTAAACTATAGCTCTGATACTATTAAATGTAACACCCCAACCCGTATCCAATCTGGATACGAGAGGTGTCACATTAAATTTTCAAATCATTGACTCTTTAAAAGTAATTAGAAATTTAAAACTTTTATTTTTATTAAAATGGTGGAACCCTTAATTGAGATTAATATTAAAAATTCAAATTGTCACTGGAAATAAATACATAATAATTAACATAAATACAATAAAGTATGATTACAAAATTGATAAGAGCATATCCATTTAAAACATGGTGATACATGCCAACAATATTTACAAAGTGAACATAAAACTACAATTCCAAATGGTTATGATATGATCTTCCCTGTGTATGTTATCTTTTCCTAATCTTCACTCTTTCGATCTCTTTGAACCTATATGTGAAACATTCACACGTTAAGTCGTTGACTTAGTGAGGCAATAACGAGTATAAAAGAAAACATTTGAAAACAGTTTATCATTCAATCCATATAAAACATTTTATACTGAAATCAACATAAATTTTATGATTAAACTTATAAAGTTACTCATATTTCAACTTGTATCATTTTATTCTTTTAGACCAATGCATAACACTGAGAATTCAAGGTATCTGAGTACATTGAGGTTGTGCACTAATGCAGTCACCACTGCTCATATAAATTGCACAAAAGTGTCACGTAGAATTTGTCCCAAAGGACCGCGTAGAATTTATCCTGAAGGACTACATAGAAATATCCCGGAGGACCACATAGATTGTCCCGAAAGACCGCATAGAACCCTTAACTCTTGGCATGCCAACTATACCTCTAATTCTCATACATATACCTTGTCTTTAACTTTATAATTATTCTTTTTTTATTATTTAAAGTGTATCTTAATCGCGTAGTGACATTCTTATAGATTACTTTTATGTAGGACATTTTCGTGTAAAGCATATTTACATATTATCTATTCACATTCAGGTACATGTATAATAAAAACATAGCTTTATAAATATAACTTGAATCAAACATTATAAAATAATGCATTAAAGAAATTAAATAGTTTTCGATCAAAAACTTCGAGGTTGGCTTATCACAAGCCGTCATCCTCTCTCATATGAAATAAATGAGTTGCACTCACCTTTTCCTCACGTAAGTTCTAAACGAATCCTATTAGTTTTCACTAAATCTCTTTGCTATGTTGTCTTGATCGATACATTTCCAATCCAAATCTACACGTAGATATACTCAATATCAATACACTTTACAATAACGTATAACCAATTAGCATTTACAAAACGAAACTAAAACTCTCACTTTAAATTTCATACACATAAGTATCGATACCCATCATTATGTACTGATACTTCTATATTATGGTACCGATACCCTCTTCAATATCGATACCATTTTGGCATTCTGGAATTTCATACTTACTAATAGTATCGATACCTTACTCTTGGTATCAATACCCCACTTTCAGTATCGATACTAATTCAATCAGCACCGATATTGTACATCATATTCAACTTATTTCATTCGATTTAACTCTATAGTATCGATACTGATCTTCCAGTACTGATACCCTAGCCCATATTTTATTTAGTTCCCCACGAATTCTTGTCTAAATTCACCTAAATATATTATTCTTAGCTCTATTCAACTCCTCAAATTCATTAACACCTATCCTAATAAACTAATCTTCAATAATCCTCTTATAACATCCAAATTTCTCTAGGGAAATCTTAAAACTAAAAATCATGTCATTTATTCAAACATATTCTAAATCATTTTTGACATTCATATCTCTTAGTTAGAACTTTGACAAGTCAATTCTACCTTTAGAATCCATTTATTAGCCAAATCTCAACCTTTCACTTCAAAACACATTTCACTAATTCACTAGGGATTCCTTATTAACTTAGCTTTTCTTCATCTTTAAGCTTTCCTTAAGCTTATGTATTCCCCAAAGTCCAAAAACCACTTAAAAATTCAAGAAACAATCAACTTGTAAATCACTCACCTTAGAAATGGAGGTTCACAACACAAAAAAGGAAGAAGAAGAGAAATAAGCCAAAATCTTTCCAGATACTTCTTTTTTCCCATATTCCTAGGCTTAAATAACATTTTAAATAAATTTTAAATTCATATCATGATAAAAAACCTCTTTTCCCTTCCATTCTTCCATATTTGCAATTAAGTCCTAATCACAAATTCCCAAAATTAGTCTTTAAACTTATTAACTTATTCTAGTTAAACCGTTAAATTTTACATTCTTATATTTTAGTCACTTACCCGATGTTTTGGGTGTTACAGAAAAACAATGGTTAATATCGTCAAGGTAATAAGTAAAATAACATAGTAATAATTAAAACAATGATAAAACTTAGTCCGCATGATTTTCTAGTTCGCATGAAATGTATAAAAAATAAAGTTTTAGAGTTAATTTCTCCATTGCATACTTATTCGGGCACCTACGGTGAAATTTCAGAGTTTCGTACTAGATGGATCTAAGGTAATTAAATGCATGGTTTCGGCTCTAAAAGGACTAGGTACTCAAATTATCCTTGCTGATGCCACTTTGGGTGAGTCAGACCCTCAATCCTCACCCATTACAAGCTTATGGATCAAGTTAAATTTTGAGAGGGAGCATTTCCCTATGCGTGACCCAACGAATAAATTCCTACGAAGACATAGGTACTTTGGACCCCGAAAGTTACTGGTTAGGTATTTACAGAGAATAAATTCTCACGAAGACGTCGCCTTCACTCTCACTTAAAAAGGACAGCTCAGGTATAGAGCGAATGTCATGAATGTGGCGTGTTGTGTGTGGGGATAAATACTCAAACCTTTAATCAAACGAGTAGAGAAAGGAACCAGATAAAACAGGCAGTCTTGGAAATAATCTAATATCTGAAAAAGTCACTCAAAGCACACATTAGTACAACTGGTTAAAAGAAATAGGAAAAGTATGAATTTAAAAGAAAATTAAAAGGAATAATCTAAAAAAAGAGAAATTACGAGGAAAATTAAAAGGATCGAAATGAAATAAAGTTGAATTTCTTAATTTTCCAATGCAGGTACAAAGTATAATTGTTGCAAAAATTTAAAAAAAAAATCAAATTTTAGAAAAGATTTGAAAAGTTTGGAGTTGCCATCAACCTTTGGGATTAGGTAGGTTGAAAACCTGAGATGCGCCCTTTTTAAATAAATTTTTAAAAAAGCATAATTTGGTCTACAATTCAGATATTATGGGTTCGAGAGTTGATTACGCTTGGGGAATGATTAACACTCCCACATCGCCCAAAATTGGTACCTCCAATTATTAACTTTGTCTCTATATTAAAAATTAAGAAATTCAAATATTTATTTAATTAATGATCCTTTTATTCCCTAAAAACTCTTAAAAATGTTTTAAAATATTTAAAGAGACACAATATTTGTTATTTCCAATTAAAGGAGAAACTAACCCCTAATCAGAATTAAGGCAGTTATTGCTTACGTTTTTAATCGAAATAATGAAATATTAACGACCCTAAATTTTTTAAAATAATTAATCTATTATTAAACCCTAAAAGAAAATATTAAAGGTAACAAATTAGTCAAATTATTATTAAAAGAATAAGGATGTTCTTTGATTTAAAGAACAAAGGCCAAGCCTTTGACGTTAATCAAGCAACTTGCCCTAAGTAATTTAAATGTAGGAACAAACATCTACCCTTTTATTTGAAACTAGTGAACCTATTTAATTTTGGGGGTGATCACTGGATAGAATATTTATTTATTCGAAAAATATTGAACATGAATATCTAGTTATTTTAAGACCACCCCTTTCAATATTTAGGAATAAAAGAATATTCTTTTTAATCGATTATGAATTAGTATTTATGTGTTTCTAATTAAGTTTATTAAAGAATCTAAACCTAAAAAGAAATTACTAAACATATGAATTTCTAATTAAGGAAACTAAACTGAGATTTAATTAATAACAAAGCACTTAAAGTCCAAAGGTTAATTAAAAAAAACCTAAAGACTAATTAATATTTAGTGACCAAATTAAAAGATTGAAGAAAATCTAAATGTTTTATTTTATAATTAAACAAGTAATCATTTTAAAAGATTTACAAATTAATATTAAACACATTAAATAAAAGATACAAGGTAATTAAAAAGAAATTAATGATTAAATTGCATTCAATTAAAATTTGGGTACAATTTACAAGCAATTGGCAACTAAAATAAAATAAATGAAAAGTCACTTCCCAAACACAAAACACGCTAAAAGCCTAGTGTTTTAATGGAACAAATAGCCCAAATATTATACACTCTGAGACCAAAAAAATTAGGAGAAAGGCTCATTTTACACTCCTCAAAAATTTTCCTCCCTTAAAACCCTCTCAACCGAAATCTCCCCTACCAACCAAGTTCATCCCTTGTTCTTGATGTTTATACATTGTTCATCTTAAAAGCCAAGCCTAGATCCTAAAACAACACCAAACTCACCCGAAATTAATTTTTGGAAGATCAAACACCCATATTTCCTAAGAAATATCAAACGTTCATCTTCGAAAACCCACTTTGATTCTCTAGCAACACCCAAAAGCAACCAAAAGTTATTATTTTAGGATCAAAATCCAACTTTTCCTTTAAATCATCAAGAACATCAAGAACACTCAAAAATCCAAAACCAAACCCTTCTAAATCTTCAAGACTAAAACACTACCCAAACACCCTACAACCAACCCCAAACATCGACCGAAACACCTCCATCATCGCCAAACCGCCGTCGGCCTGTCGTTGGTGGCTCACCTACCCGAAGCGGAAAAAAAGAAGGAAAAAAATGAAGTTTACCTTGAACCCGAGATGACTACTAAGGGCGGCGATGCTCAACTCCGAAAGGTAAAAAAACACCTTTTTCTAAATGCTCTCCTTCGTATTTGAGATGCTTAAGCTTGCTTAATCTTGTGTGTGATTAGTGATAATGATTGAAGCCTATTTATATTGTTGATATTGGTTCTTGGTTTCATGATTCTCGCTCAAAATCGGTTAGATAAGCGGTTTCATAGCTTTGAATCTAGAACATTTACTAGCTTTAATTTTTTTTTGCATGCTTCGAAATGACCGACAGCGGTGGACGTCAATGGCTCACTGGAGAAGATGAACTTACCGGCTCGTGTGGTACGCCGACGACCTCCCTGGCTTGCCGACGCATGGCTCACTGGAGAAGATTGAAGCCTATTTATATTGTTGATATTGGTTCTTGGTTTCTTGATTCTCGCTCAAAATCGGTTAGATAAACGGTTGCATGGCTTCGAATCTAGAACATTTACTAGCTTTAATTTTTTTGCATGCTTCGAAATGACCGAAGGTGGCGGAGCACAGCGGTAGGCACGGCGGCGGACGGCAATGTCTCACCGGAGAAGATCACCAGACCGGCGCGTGTGGCGCGCCGACGACCTCTTCCCGGCCGGCGACCTCTTCCCGGCCGGCCGGCGATTGTGTTGATGATGATGCCCTAGCTCTTTGGAGAAGATGAAGCTTGGCCATTGCATCCATCTTTGATCCAATGGCTTAGAATGCTTTGTGTTTGTTTCACAAGGATGGAAGCATCCATAGCCCTGGGATCAAAGCTCATCAAGGGTGTAGATTGATTTGGTTTTGTTGCCATGGATTGGTGACATGGCACACCTAAAAAGCTCCACCAATTAACGCTTTGTCTCGTTTCAAATTTCAAAGCAAAAACCAGTTCCCCATTTTCCCTGCAAAACCGGCGGCAAAGTTAAACAAGTGGGGGTTTTCTTGTTTTTATATTATTTATTAGTTGTATATATTTAATAGAAAGTGGGCTTATATTGGGCCTATATAAAAAAAGCAATGCAATGGACTATTTTATGCAAATGGACTTATTATTTTTTTGGGTTTTTGTTATTATTATTTATTTAACAACAAAATAAATGGGCTACTAACATAAACCTAACATGTAACTTTTATTTTATATTATATAATATGCAATATAACACATACTAATTATTTAACTACCTAATATGAAAACATGAATTAATATGTAATGACATATGAATTAATAACAAATCAATGTCATGAATTAATAACATTCAATGTAACATGAAACATGCAATGTCATTATCTAATATCTAACGCATGTAATTATTTAATATGCAATGCAACTAACACTAAGGATAAGCTATGCAATTATGCAACTACCTTATGCATTTAATAACCAAACTATACTCTATTTACAAGCTATATATTATATACTATATATTATAAAATATGAAACGCCACGTGTCACTACACGAATAAAATGGGTGATGATAGTTCGTGTTAAATTTTAGAATAAATTAGTAATTATTATTAACTCGTAGGTTCTGATTCGGGTCGTATTTCTACTCGAGTTGATCGTGGTAGAGGATATTACCGACGTTAGCACTTGCTAAGGTGTCTTTGACTGGTACTATATTAAATTTTGTGTTTATTTGATTGTTTGGTATGCATGATGAATTGTGAGATTGACTGTTCTATGATATCGACTGAAAATGTTTACATTAAATTCTGATAAATGTCACGTGTTGTATGTTGATATGTCTGATTTGGACTACATGTTATTGTGTTCAAAATATATGATTATTATGATATGTTAGACATAAACCGTGTTATGTGTAATATGTTATTTATCGGATTTGGATTTTGTTATGTGATTGGACTCTGGGATCAGGTAATTGCATTCTCATTTGGATTAGATTGTAATTTGGATAAATTCTATTCGAGTATGTGTTATTCATATATCTGTTACTCGGATCAGATCAAATATCGAATGTGTGCCATTTGCATGTCATATTGGGACGATTTCTGATAGGGAAAGTTCAGTGCATTCACTCGACTAAGTGAATGAATTTTTTTTCAGATTCAGTGGCCTCCTCTTTTGTGGCAGACCCCACATGGTGTGAGCGATGGATATAGTGTGATTCTGGGAAACCCATTCTTCTCGGTGAGATTGGTGTATGGGTGGGTGGATGAGCATTTGCATAACATCTTGCTTGTTGATGATTTGGTATGTGAATATGATATGTGAATGCTTCGGATTATGCTTGTACTTGTTTATATGCACTTTAGAGACACACTAAGTCTCGTTGCTTACTCCCCCATAGTGTCTTCGTTAAGATACTCGAACTAGGACTCAATACTTGGAGTTACTACTACAAAACTCATTATTTCTATAATATGAATTTTTATTTGGATTTCTTGTTAATTTCTTTATTTATTATTTTATTTGGATATATTTATTAAGGTTTACTTATTTTAGGACATTGGGCATTATTTTACTTTTTCCGAATGGTTGAAAAGGTTTTAATACTTATGTTGGTTTTCCATTGATTTATTATTTAATAATAATTAGTAGTTTGGGTTTTTCAAAGCCTTCTAGTATTTTACAGCTATTTTCGAGTTACAAAAATCAAAATTGATTTCGTAAGGGACAAATTTTATAGTGACTCTCGAGATTGGCCCAATGACCTAATTTCTCCTTGTGTCGGATTTGGGGTTACATGAAATATAATTTGCTTAACCACCGGTCGACTTGTTTCCATATCTAACCCAATATCCTGCCCAATTTATTGATTTACCACGACTTCAATCGAAATTTGCATGCATATTTGTTCATGATATCCAAGTAAATCCACAAAAGTTTTACAACAACAAAAAAGTCGGTTCTGCCGATAAAACCTCCGTAATTTTATAAGTGAAATAGTTGTGGCTATCTTCTAAGCTATAGTTTTTTCAGTTTCGTGAGGGGAAGGTGACAATCAACAAGGTACTTTTACTAAGAAACTATATAAGTTAATCGTGGGACCGTACCTTTTACTATATATTTGAGTGTTCAAAGAGACTTAACTACAAAAAGTCTCAATTATTTTCGAAAAATTTGAATTTTTTATTTTCATGTTGATATTGCAAAGTAAGAAGCACAAACAGAACGAAAAGTTGTAGAAATAGTACTTTGAGAAAACGTACATTCTTCAGTTCCTCTATGTCTTTACCAGACCTCCGGATGATTGAACGCATTCGAGCATGAGCATACAGCAAATAAACAGCAGTGTTGCCTTGCCATTCAAAATTTTGAAAGGCGAGAGTCAGATGCTAATAATGATATTAGAAAAATAAAATAATAGGAACTTTCAGCAAATGATGACCAGAAGAAAATGAGGAATACATAAGAAGCCTTCATCATAAAAATGTTCAGTAAAAACCAAAATGGTAAAACATGCTAGCTTCACAAAATCTGCAGTCTAAAACAAAGCAAATGGTTTAGGCCAGGGTTTTAAAAAACGGTCCGCGACCTCGATTTCGTCCGCGATATAGCGGTTTCGCCGCTGTCCGAGTTACCCGCGACGACCGCAATCACGATAAATCCGAAATAACCAAAACCGAGACCGCGACTGCGATTTAAAACCCTGGTTTAGGCACCTTATCATTAAGCATCTGGTCAAAATTAAATGTGTAATTGTCAGCATACCTGTAATCAGAATTCATGAATTTCAAAACAGTAACAACCTGGAACAGAATAACAGAAGATAATAGCAATAACAGTTGTATTAGACAAAGAAGCTCATATGTAATAAGTGGCTTACTTTACAGCACCATAGCCAACTGCTTCAGCAGTGCTCTCAATCTCATCCTCAGTCCTTTCATCGCCCTTACCTGATCAGCACACAAAGCAGCATTTTCGTAAATATGAAGTTCGAAGGTTACAATTTAATAACAGCAAGAACTTGCTCTAATGGATACACCATAAATAGTTCTGCAACTGTAAGAACAAGAAACATTTATAACAGATATAGGGTTCAATATTTTACCACGCTCAGTAAGGGCTGCTTTACTTCGACTCTTGGCTTCATCAAGTAGATCAACTAACCGAACTACTTCAGTGTTACGGGTTCGAAAACGCTTTCCATCTTCTCCAAGAACAAGGCCAAAACCAACATGGCTAGCTTTGGGATATGAACTATGACCAGGAGGAAGCCACCCTACACGCTAGGCAGCCTGAAAAGTAGACCAAGATAATGTCAAACCGAAAGCAAGGAGAATAAACTAGATGCTAAAAGCTTTTTTTTTTTGTGGGGGAGCGGGGGGAAGAAACTAGAAGTTAAAAGTTGGAATGACACTGCGTGCTCCTTAAATTGTGGTATTCATCAAGCATCAATCTATTTGTAGTAAATAAAATAAAAATAGAAGTTGCATATCATTATAATGGGATTTTAAATATAACGCATCAAAAGAGCAAGTAAAAAAGATAGAAGAAAAAGCTGATTAATTCCTATTCCTAGGCTTACATATCCAACATCAACAAAGTAGACAATGAACTTTATGGAACACGTAATAATAAGTAACGCATTAAACTCGGAGCAAATTGGTCTAACATTAACAAAGTATCCCATGAGGTCAACATGGAGAAGGAAACAATAAGCAATAAATAATCTAAAGTTTACACACTCTTTAAGCCTTCAAATCAGCTGTCAGTTTGTAATTTTAGCCATTATAATTTCAGTCAGCTCTGGCTGCACGTATATCTGACCGATCTCACAGATTCCACAAGAAATGAAAAACAACAATAGAGGCGGCATCATATTCATGGAAGAAAACTTACCAAAGGGCAGCTAGATCAGTTGATGCATAGTTGAAACCACCATCACTCTTCACCACAGTAAGTGGTATATTAATGCCTTCAACAAAGATCACACGAGCTCCGTTACTTTCCTCAACTAATCCTTGTTTGGTCAAGGCTTCTATGAACCCAGGAATGTATGGGTTATAAAAACTCTACCCCTGGAAATAAGGAAACCATACTACAAATAAAACTTGCAAGTTTTCAAAAAGTCAATGAGGCTATCAAAAACTTGCATTCAGCAAAAAGATAGAATTCATTCCTTAAAAATGTCATCAGAATCGTGTAACTGTGTATTATTGCTTTTGTGTAAGATTTCTGGTGATTATATGAATGCTAAAGTCGATAAAACATGCAAAATTTGCAGTTTGTACTAGATTGAAGATGATCTATAACATGAAAAATATAAAGACAACGAAAGTAAATAAAAAAAAAGAGATCTCTAATGATATGGAATTGTGGAATATTACTCACATTTTCTTCTGTTAGAGTATGCCCAAAGACCAATCATACGATGATTGTAATAATACATTTGTTTACCGATTTTATTGAATGAAGGCATTGCCACTATTATTTTCAGTTATATGTATGTGTTTAAAATAAACTGAAATATAATAAAGTCCATATAATAACATTATTATTATTAAAAGATCCATAGTCAAGTATTATTATGGGCATTGACAATAATAATACGCTTAAGACTAACATGTTATTGATTGATGACAAATAGTTGTCATTGACATAGATATGTCAGAATTGATACATGATTATATTGTTAGAAACAATGTATTGGATTAACCCACCATGAGCATATGTCTTGGATTATTATGTAATGGTCATAACATTACTCATGGTGATGACTATATGTATGATCCTTAGATTTGAGATCAATGTTATCCCAACATATATTGTTATATGTTTTGATACAGTTAAACATGCTTCGTAACTGGTTGTACTATAAAGACTGTTATTGAATATATCTCGATATATGTAGTGGGTGCGTATGATTAAGATAGGATTTGTCGTTCCTACATAATAGGAAATATATCACAGGCCACTTGATTGAGTGAGACTAGAAATGCATGGCCATGCTCGAATAAGTTGATATGAGATATCACAAATTATTTGTTAATTATAGTGTACTCTAGATATCAAGAAACAATAGATGGGTTATACAAGTGTGACTATTTCAAGACTTGTGCCTATTCTAGATATATAGGACAAAAGAATGTAATAC